TCATATGAAGATAATGCTGCTTGCATAGTTCCATTAAAGGAAGAATACATCAAAGTGATAATCCAAGCAGATTTGTTCACTAAGGTGTTACCTACCACAACTTTTTAGAAGATGATTCACAAGATTGGAATGCGTTGTCTTAGAGATCTTAAATAGTGCCTTCAACAAGAGGAGACCAAAATGGAGATTAATGTATGCAAGGAATATTGTACTCTTTTTCCTTCACTAGGATTTTTTTCCCACTAGGTTTTTTCCTAATAAGGTTTTAACGAGGCATGTTCCTTGTACAATGGACATTCAAGGGGGAGTGTTATGAAATAATGAATGTCCATCATCATGTTCATCCACTTTTTATATCCCCACTACTCATTATTCTTAATATGATTCAATTCATCATTCAATATGAGAAATTGAAAGGGTGATGCAATTGATTATTCATAGTCCCTTCCAATTCTCTCCTCAATTTTGAAGCCTATAAATAGGCTTCATTATTCATTAGTTGGTGTACAAGTTTCTTAGAGAGAATAAGAGAAACTTTGAAGTTCTTATCACTTATATTCACATTATAGTGATTTCATTTTCTTGTCACCCTTTTTCTTCAATTCTCTTATTATTTGTATTTATTTTATAACAAATTTTGCATTTACTAAATCTCGGTATGGATTCATGTATTGTTCAACAATAACATGATACATTAATTAAACCTTTTCTTGAGTAATTAATGTAGGGATTATGCATTGCATATCATGTTGGAATATTTCCAAAATAATGTATCATAAGAGTATTAAAAAAAAAGAGTTTTTGGAGAATAGCCAAACTATTTGGCGGGAAGATGAACCGTTTTATGATAGAAATTTGAAGGAGATACTCGAATTTCTATCACTCGAAAGTGAGTTTTTGTCGATAAAAAAAAAAAACAAAGGAAATTAAAACATGATCTGGATAGATATTAACATTAAGAGAAAATGATCAATCCTTTTTTTTTTAATTTCAGTCACCCAAACTTTAATTTGAAAAAAATTGGAGACATTGTATCTTCCTTTGCCAATGGTGGCAAAAGTGTTTGGCTAGGTTTGATTGGGTTAGCATTTCCCAAATGGCTTTGGAGAGAGAGAGAGCTGAATAATTGCTTGCGAGGCGAGTCCTTAATTTGCTTTTCTAACAACACACACTTTGTGTACGAAATTTTTTAAAATATTCAATGAGTAACTAAGATTAAGTGGATCAATTTTTTTTAATTTTTATTTATTTAAAAATCAATGTATGAATTTTTAATTTTGCATTTGTACTTTCTTTAACTTTATTTTTTTAGATTTAATCAATACTTTAATTTTCTATCAAAAATAGTATTCACATAAATAGTCACGTAATGAAAATAATTCATTAAATTTTATCTAAAATTTTTTCAAAAAATTAAAATCATTTTGAATCATTTTTTATTTTTTTTCAATTTTTTACATTTTTAATGTTTAAAAATTAAAACATTATACTTTTCCGGGTTGAAAAATTCTAAATTTTTTTCATAAAATATATTGGATGTTTTACAACATTTGTACAAAATTTTAGTTTAAAGTATCAAGAATTGAAAATTTTTAAATGAGAGTGATGGTTGGAGATGGACTAAATCTATTAAATAATAATACTAAAAAAAAAATTGAGAGGAAGTCAAATCCAAAATTAAAAGTTCAAAATCCAAAATCAAAAGTTCAACTTATTTTTAAATGAACTAAAAGTTGAGGACATGCTTGGCCCATTTAGATCGTAAGTAACAATATTTATTTTATAAATATATTTGAAGAGAGAGAGAGAAACATAAAATAAAAAATCACATTTGGATCATAAAAAAATATATAAAATATTTCTATTTAATTCTTTTTTTTTTTTTGTCTATCTATTTTTTATGAAGCAAGTATTATTAATTACTTCTGAAGCAAGGTAAAATTTCTCAAAATATATACCATAAATTAAACTTATCTTTTTTATCTTGTAAGAGTAGAACTCTAGTTTAGATCCAGTTCCATTCTTCATCTAACTGGTGATTAGAGCAGAAACACAACACAACTAATTGTTTGATCATCCAGTCAATGTGGAATTAAAACCTCTGCAAAACAAAATCCAAAGGGATGAATCGTGCATGTTCAATTGAAAAATGTCCAGGTAGCTAGACTTGAGTGTTGTCCTGATGGTTATTAAACATTGATCGAAGATTTGGATAACGAAATTATAACTTTAAACTATGAACAAAAGTTCCGTGGAAAGTTGTCAACGATTGAAAGGTTAGACTAATTATAACCTTTCAAAAAGGATAGTATGACTTTTTTGTTCACAAAAACAAAAAAAAATATATATATATATATAATTTCGTTATTAAATCTTATCTCAAACAATAATTCTAATTACATATCTTTTATGTCCACTTTTTACGTTTAGAAAATTTTAATATATATATATATATAGTTTCGTTATTAAATCTTTTCTCAAACAATAATTCTAATTACATATCTTTTATATTGACTTTATATATTTAGAAAATTTTAATAAATTCTCTTGCTCGTTGACCATCACTTTATCAAAAAATAATAACCACCAAATTAAATTATGTTTCTTAAATCCTATCAGAAAATTTTTTATGCAAGATAGATAATTCTTTTCATATTCTGTGTGTGTGTGTGTCCGATCAATGTAAGAATATCATCCCCTCTTATTCACAATTACATTCTATTTTAGAGATCCACGGGAATTTGGATTTTTAGTATATAATTAAATGGAAGGAAGGTTGATTATCTCAAACATGTACAAGGATATATTGTTTTTGCAAAATGTTAATCGAGAAACAAATCAAGTAAGAAAATAGAGTTCAAAGAAAAGAACACTCACACAACATAAAGATTACGTGGTTCGACAATTGTATCTACTCTATGACCGCATTAGGATTTCTTATAAGGGTTATTATCAAGTGACAACTTACAAATACAAATGATATTGTCTCTATTTATAATATGGACAAGTAAGATTATATATATATATATATGAAAAAGGCGTAATAGACCTATACATTTGATCTAATATTCTATAGATTTTGCAAGGAATGTTGCCACCTTAACTTTCACTAGCTAATCGGCTAGCGCGAGACCGTCATATGCATAACGTCTTATATCGTAAGACTTATTTATATCGGTCTTCACAATTTAACAAGTATATGCATAAAAGGACTTCATCACTCCTATATCAATGCTGAAATTTTGAGTACCTTCGGAAATAAGATCACGAGATGTATAGAGTTGATACCAACCAAATACCGTAATTTAAAAATGTTCTAAACTCTTTTTTTGATGTAGACAACTAGATGATTAATATATAAACCAATGCAAAACTAAATCTTAATATATATATATATATATATGCTCTCCTTAAACATTTGGGAACAATTTTAATTTTCTTCATACGTATCTTAAAGTTTCAATACGTTTTCTCTCTTGGACTTCGTATAACAATAATATTTCTAAAGTGCTTTCTCCATCATTAACCAGTTTATATATATATATATATATATATGCTCCTTAGAGCATCCCCAATGATGCTCTCTACTTTTAACTAGCATTTTTAATGTAAATAGGGAGTACCATTAATTATGTAGATTGAAGATCAATGTTCTCTCAAATGCTACTCTCTACTTTAACTTTTTATTTTGACAAAATCCATAAAACCCGTAAAGACTATTGGTGAAGAGGTCGAGTAGCATAGAAAATAGTAATTTTCATTAAGGAAAATAAGATAAAGAGTCATTTGGACTCTTTAGTATTGGAGAGCTAAAGACACTATGCATCTCAATTTGAAAGATAGAGATTATGATAAAGAGAGCATTAGAGATGGAATTTGGGTCAAACCTCTTCATTATAAAGAAAAATCTTAATATGAAGAGAGCATTGGAGATGCTCTTAAACGTTTGGGAACAATTTTAATTTTCTTCATCCATACCTTAAAGTTTCAATACATTTTCTCTCTTGGACTTCGTATAACAATAATATTTCTAAAGTGTTTTCTCCATCATTAAACAGCTTTTTTTTCTTGAGAATACGCCTACCGACTAATATTTGTAATACTAGTGATTATTACACCCAAGCACAATCCAGTTATTATGTAATGAATAATCATTAGTATTTTTGTACGTTAGAAAATGTCTTTTAATCACATTTAGAAAGAAATTAATCTTGATATATGCTTAAATTGACTCGAGAACATTTTTATTGCTGAACAAAAAAATAAATAATCATAGTGTTTTCTAGTTATGCCCTTCAACTTGTAAGGGTTGCCAATTTTGTTGGTTTTGGTTGGATATTTGTTTGTTAAATCAATCGTCTACGTTAGTTTTGATGAAAAGCAAAAGGAGAGCATGTTGTTAGTGGGTGCACGGTGCTTATTTGCACAATGATTGCACTCGTGGCTCCTAAACTTTATATACAAGAGAAGAAAAGCTTTAAGAAACTAGCTAGCTACAACAATGAACAAAGAAGATGTGATTTGATTAAATATATAAAATTATAAGAAAGGATTAGCTAGCTAGGCCACAATAAAGAAAGAAAGGTACTGATCTATCTATTTAGTTGGTTGATGGGATTTGATTAACAGTATGAAAAAAGGATTAGAACAAGCGAATTTGTGAGCTAAAAAGATGAAAACAAAGTATGATTAAGCTATGCGCGTACCACTTCTAAATAATTAAAAAAAAAAAAAGGCGTCCATAAAGTAATCAGCGTGTGCAATGTTGATCTTCTATTCTTTCGCTTTTCCTTTAAGTACCTAGCTACTTTCAAACACACGAAAATTCTTCATTATTTTTTGTGGTGTATATATATATATATATATATATATATGGTATCAAAGTTCATTTAATATAAGATTAAGTTCAATCAAAGGGACCATTACTTAGTTTTCCCTTTTGGTCTATAGCAAACAGGGTTAAAGTTATTTTGTGATGGAGGGCATCAAAGAGAAGCAAAATGGAAAATTTGGCAATCTTAGCGAAGGTAGTGAGGATTAGAATTTCTAAGAAGGCTGAGAGATTCCTTTTCGATCATGGGAGTGATACAAGTAAAATGGAAGAGGAGATTCCATTCAGATCGTGGAATGACCATATTTGGGGACCCAAAATCCAACTAAATGTCCAATTGACATGCCCTAACGAAGAAAAAGTTCCCTCAACCTTTCCCCACTACCATCATCCCATCTACGAAGGAATCTGAAGACATTCTTGGTGGATGTCGAGTCCAGCATCCACCATGCTACATTTGATTTGACACTTCACAAGCCATTGTTTGCTAGCACTTGTGTTGGAAAAACATGATCTTATAGGTGATAAATTAAGCGTAACGAAGAGAGTATTTTCAAGTGAAATATTTATCTCACATTAAAAAGTAAAGATAAGAAGAAGTACTTTATAAGTAGACAACTTATAAAAGTTTTCAATTTGAAGGATTTAGAGGGAACTCAAATTGAAGAAGGGAAGCATGTGTGATTGATTAATTTTGGATTTATTTTTTCAAAAATTCTCTTGAAGCAAAAGTATTGTCTATAATTCTTTGAGGGTAAAGTTTAATCCCGGAGGTGAATTATGAAAATTTATGTAGTATTACAGATGACGTAATTAATAATCACCTTAAGAATAATATAAGAAAAGTTTTTATACGTAATTAAGTATTGTGTTCTCTTATTTTTATTTTCGAACTTCTGCATCTCTATTTTCTCAATTCAACAACTTGTGTACTTAATTAATTTGTCCAAATGCATATAAATTTCCATCAAGGTAGCGCAAGATAACACAAGTGGAAAATGGAAATATTGCCAAGAAAACAAAAAAGGTGTTTCTCTTTTCTAATTACAGCTCATTGGTGGTATTTCTTCCAATTGTTTGCTAGAAAACAAGATTAAAAAAGCGATCTTAATGCTTACGTATGGATCTACTATAGCTTGAAGATATCAATATAGGTTGGACTAAAATTGTTGTGCATCATGGTAATCAAAGTTGATAATGCAACTTCTGATTGAAGTTAAGGATGCATGTTGCTTGATTTGATCCCTCAATCCTCAATCACAAAACTAATGAGTAGTCCACTGGAAAATGCTGGTATAGTGGCTTCCAGGATGGATGGAAATTTTTATCATGAATTTGATTTTAAAAAGTGCCCTACTGCCAAGAACCCACCTCAATCCATGGTTCAATATCATCTGTGCTTATTAGAAATCATAGTAATGAAGGACCATGCTTCATCATTTTTTGTGATTTCCATTTCAACAACGGGTCACCCAACAATAGCTGCAATCAAGACCCTAAATCGCTTTGGCCCATCTTCATCTTTTCCTCATATTGCCAAACTGCTAAAGAAGATGTGATTTCATCATGTAAACATTGACAACCTAACCTAAAATTTAATTTCCCCGCCAATAGAATCACGACCGTGCATGTTGAATTGGTAAATGCATGCTTAATTAAGAGTTTTATTTTCTATATGCCACCATTTTTCTTATCTGTAAGAAGTATACTTCAAAAACCAGAATGGATTTCGTTGGTTGTTTTTGCTCTTCAATAACCACAATTAACAGTTTAATTAAAACCTTAATTTCTTTAACCACACTGAGTTCTAAAGCTAGTATCGATGCTAAAACTCCCTCCAATACCAAGATAGATTTTTCTATTATAGATAACTTCAAACAATTTATAAGGATCAAAACATGACCAAATTAACAAATACTAATATATATACATACGCGTCAACTTTTCTCTTGCAAATACATGAAACTTCTTTAATCTCATTCTTGAATGGAAGTGTATTTTGCTTCTGGCATCACGGTTTAAATGTGACGTTGACTTCCCAATTAGCTGTGAAATTAACGTAACTATGGAAATCCTGATGCCAAGATCAAAGTACATTCACTTTCATGGAATAGATATCTCTACATTATGCAGTCAAAAAATTAAGGGAAGATGCTGGTATTATTTTTTTATTGCCTCTATTTATTAAAAGACTATGTCACTCAAAAGTTTAATTATCAGGTAAAACCTCAAAATATGATTTATGTAATTTTTTTATATATATGTTTTTAACTCTCTGATTCATTGCAAGTCTTTACAGTGTTGCTTTTGTCTCGGTGCTTTAGAATGTTATCTAATCGTATTGGTTCGTATCCAATTTGCAGCTAGAGTAATGCGGATTCAAAATGGCATTTCGCGATACATGAACTTCTAACTCACCCGAGCAAACACTGAGATGTTGCCAAGTAGTATGTTTCTTAATGCTTGTTAAACAAAAAATAAATGCTTGTTGAACTTCTTTTTTTTTTTTTCTTCCCCGAGAGTTTGTTAAGCAAACACTCACACATATATATAAACAACCTCAAATTTAATATAATTTTTTTTTATTTTAAGCAAGGTTAGGTGTGTCCATGTGCACGTGCAGAATATTCCATAGCCGAAAGAGTACGGGCTGCTTCCCAGTAAAAGGTAGCCCATAAAGAAGATGGGAAAGCCATAACAAAAATGGCAGGCAGCCCCTCAAATTGAAATCTTTGCACGAGTGGTAATAATGATCCACTTAAAGATTTTCCGTTAGAAAGCAATGCGTAATTTCTTGGAAACCCAGAAAGAGTAGCAGTAGCACATGATTGACTCAAAATCTGCCAGATTAATTGTCACACCAACTGGTCTTCTTTCTTTTTTTCTTTTTCCTTCATTCCCATTTCCAAACATAAGCAAGACTTCAACCTCGTGAGGACCCTATGATTAGCAGTAAACTTCTTACGTAATAACGCAATCAGCTAATTCCTGAGACCTCTAAATTCTAAACTAGAAGTCTTATATGGAAACAAGATAGAGATTAAATCTCAACGACACATCTAATAAATAAAGATTAACTCCTCCTATTATGTAGTGTTTATATATATATATATAGAGAGAGAGAGAGAGCTGATAGCTCATCTATTCGACTAACTGATATACCTAAAAAAAAATTCCAGATTCTTGACTACCCTGTTGATATAATAATGATATGGATATTGATATATGTTTCTTGATGACTTGATCATATATAGTTGGTGTCTTAGTGATCGGTATCGGTTCAAAGGCTCAAAGCGTAATTAAGATAACTTGTAAAGTAAGATTCCCATGAGTTGGAATTTGATTTCAGATTGAGGTTATCATATCCTTAAGATGCAAAACACGAGAGACAAGTAAAGGAAGATCCTCCTCTGCATGGGTGCTTTTGGTTAAAGTAGAGGGGTAGGGATGAGCCTAGTGAGTTGTGCTTGTGGAGAAGAATGGAACATGAAAGGGAATTTATCGGCGATCCCGAGGAACAAAACCGTGTAGATCTCGTTCAAAGGAGAACAATCAAAGACACAACAGTACAAAAATGCCTCTTTTCCTTTCCCTCTCTCTCTCCAAAATAAAGCAACAAAACTATCACCCTCCCTATGTTTCTCTTTCTCACTCGCATAAATAGAAAGAGAAAAATAAAGCAACCGCACACGTCAACTCCTTACGTATCAACAAATTTGGAGTCCCAAAATTTGGTTTACAAATACGATCAAGCACAAAACAATGGCATTGGTAACCAATGAGGTTAAAAGTTGACATACAAGAGCACTTGAAAGTTAGAAGAAACAGTAGAGCTACGAGAAAACTGAGAATCACCTCCAGAAATTATTATAGACCTCTTTTGCTCAGAACAAACCAATCGTGTTGGCTTGTCACAACAGACGATGGGGTATGATATGTCAGCGTCAAAGCCACCCGTAGACGTATCCATAACCCACCTTTATAAAATTTAGGAATCACTTACTTTTTCCTTATCTGTTGTACATGGACTGAGTTTCTACGCTGTGTGAAACAGGAAGTAAACCTAATTTGGACCAAAGTGAAATACCTAAAAATTGAACTTTGATTGCATTAAATAAAAGAACATAAAAAGGTTATACATTTCACAAAGGAAACTAAATTTCTATAACTACTTGAATCCCTTATAAGCACGGGTTAGATTTGACATCTGCTTTCAGAAGTTTGTTGTCCAGTTGAGATGGCCTAATTGAGTTTGCTGATAAGCACCGACTTGTGCCCCAGGAGCAGATGGGGCAACCCCAACTCCAACATTACCAACCATGACTGGACCCAAATGGTGTGGACTTGTCATTGCAGTTGGCTGTGGAGGAGGAGGATACAAGCCTGGGAATTGCATGTGAGAAGATTGTGCTGCCGCAGCGTTAAAGGAGGCATGACCAGTGTGGGATTGCAGATAAGCAGCAGCATGTGTTTGCCCGGGCATGTTATAGTATGGAGCAGATTGCATGCCTGGAATTTCCCTTGGGTTCTGAATCCAAATTTCAGATGCCTCGGCCTACAACAGCAAGTTTAAAGTCAAACTAATCTTCCCGATACTAAAAAGCAATCATCAAAGAGGTCATGGACATAAACCAATTCATATCATCGATCACTTAAACCACAAACCCAGAAAATCAACTAAGGAAATAGAATGACATTAAGCTACTTCTTTTTATCATTGGATAAATGAATTGACATTCAAACCAGAAGAACACCCTTAATGTGCATAAGCATGCCATGAATGCATAATTGCATAGTTTGCGAGTACCGTGCATAAAAATGCATGTCATATACCATGTGATACTTCACGCCAAACAAATGGCAGGAGAATATGTTGCACATGTAGTCGAATGGAAAAGAAAAGGAGTCATTTTAGTGAAGTTGCTTAGCTACAACAAAATATGCTAACTCGACGATCCAAACCATTGACATTTAAGACGACAAGATGTGTCCCTAACTGCTTGTTGTGGGCTTATTGAAAACTATTCAAGTCAGAAGTTATTACCAAAAGATGTTTTACCTGTGGGTTAGGAACATAAAGGTTTCCATCTTTGTATTTCATCCGAGACGAGTCTTCAAGACCTGTTGCACTTGCAACCACACCAGGAGCATTCATAGCATACCCACTTGGACTTGTAAAATTTCCAAAACCAGCTGGATTGTTACCAGGAACTGGCTTGTAGTGCTGGATTCCATACTTGAGGCCATTTGCATTGAGATGGGAGCCACCTCCAGGCATCATCAAGTAACTGTTGCCATTTGAAGGATGTGGATATGCAGGGTTGCTGGAGTAGCCAGGCATGGGCATTGGTGGAACATAAACTGGAGAAATGTACTGACGATACGGCATCATATTTGTGAAATGTGAGACATGAACTGGTGGGTACATTTGAGCCATTGGAGGCTGCTGTTGCACTGTGGGCATTGTTGATGTAGGGATGTTGTTAGCTGAATGGGACGTTAAGGCCTGACGTCATAAATGGTAACAGATATCAATTAAAGCCATATGACATATAATATAGCGCCTAAAGAAGTTTTCTTTTCCACGCATCACTAACCAACTTTTAAGAAGCGAAGTGACAAAAGGCAAGCATTCTTCAAAGCACCGTAAGGCAAAGTCATATACAAACAAGTGCATAATGATTGTTTTCCCAAATAGCACAGTACATAGGAAGACAATTTCAACGAGCACAAACACTATGTACTTATGCAGAACCAATCTGAAAACTGCTCTTTACCCATTAACCCCAATAGATAGGAAAATGGGTGTGTGCACATTTGCAAGCATGCATGTTAATTTGTGGGAGAGAGATTAGAGAAGCATACTACTTTGAACATCTCAAAAAAACATTATACCGGGTTAATTTACCTCGTGTGGAGATAGTAGACCCTGTCCTCGTACTGTTTCATCAATTTGGGGTCGGAAGTATGATATATCATAACCAGGCTGGGAATCATATGCCTGCTTGCACACAATCACATCAGAATGTCTGAACAAAAATGTATGGCAAAGTCCATGTAATGAAAAAAATATATTTTTAAAAAAAAAGCTTTGTCACCACTCTAAAACAACTTTGTAAGCATTCATTTTAAGCTGGCATGAAACTTTTCATTAATCCAAGGAGTGAACTCACCGAAAAGCTTGGTAACTCGGGATGATCTTGCTGCTGTTGTGACTCTAAAGGAGCATAGGATGGACTGCTGTTTCGAACCAAACCAATATCAGCATAGTTATCCAAGTTTGGAGGACTTGATGACTTCTCCGGCAATGGATGTTCAGACGCTAAACCAGCTGCCGGAGAATCAGATCCAGAATTTCTTGCTTGATCATCTAGCACCTCAATCTGCTTGCCACCAGAAGCGTCATCGCTAGAAGACTCCGGAGAAGATGCTGGTAAACTGCCATCAGCATTACCATTTCATGTTTAGCTCAGACTAAAATACTGAGCCTAGCATTGCATCTCTTCAGTTACCAGTGTTAGATCAACAGTTTTTAATATGTAATTTTCTTCAACTTTTTAATCAAACTTTTTTTATCTTGTCCTTGTACTCCTTGTTAAAACTTCTACTTCAAAACTCCTATCTTTACTTTTCACGTGATATCTGTACTTACTGTTACCATTTATTATCTATATTTCTGACTTCATTAAATAAATTTATTTCACTGCAACAGGAAGGTACCACTTTACGCCCACCAGCCCTAAAGTAATAATAACAGTAGCAAATGTTCAGCACAAATTACCTCCTTACCACCATTCACATTGGCAAACAGTATATGACTCATCTCAAGACGGTTATATGGAAACAATAACATTCCAAAGCTTTCCCAATTCAGTTATCTGAATTTTTAAAACCACTAGAGGTAAAAAAAAATTATGCAAAATAGAACACAGACCTGATAGCAGATTCCCCGTTTGATTCTTCTAAAATCCCAACTGCTTGAAATCCAGGTGCAGAATTCCTGGAAGCATCAAATTCTCCAAAACTCCCAAAGATCAGCTTGCACCTATCAGTCTCGGGGACTCGAATATGCTGTGCTATGATTACATTCTGATTTTCACGAATGTTTACTAGTGAAAACTTGTCCTGCAAATTAGCTGCATTCAATTTCATGTCCTTTGAATCATCTGTGGGAGGCAAACTGGATTTTTTAGGTGTTCCAAACACTCCAGGGCTGGTAATACTTGATTTCTGGCTCAACTTTGGTTTCCACTCTTTATTATGTTGTGAAGCTGCACAAATTTTTTTTGGTTAATTATGTCCTAGAAATTTCAGAAAATAAGCAGAACAGGCCAATTACTGCAATTTACTCATTGATGTCCCTCACACTTACAGGTGTACAGACTACAGAAACAAGCTAATAACCCAAAACTAAAATATGAAGGGTGAAGAATTTTCTTTCATTGAAATTAATATGAAATATGATAGAATGAGATTAAGCACAGGGGAAATTGCAGTTAATATCGAAATCCATTAGGTCATTTCTATCAATTTTCAAGTATAAAGCCACTTTGCAGCAAAGGAGTCTCACTAACACACTCTGGATTCTGGACAGCATTTAATGCTTGATAAATTAAGCCCTCTAAGAAATAGCATCAATAAAGCCCTGTCATAATTTTTTTTTATTTCTACCGAGGCATGACTACTTCCTCAAGATGTAATAAATGACATAATAATAATAGTTATGTTGATAGAGAAATATCACACCATAATAACAACGATGAGTAGGCAGAGAAATGTCAATGAGGAATTCTTTTCAGATGTCAAATAAATGAACCAGAATGGTTAATTCATACCAAAAAGGTCATTGCAAACTATTGTTACCAAAAGAGCACCAAGAACAATTTAAAGGACAATTAACTAACAAAAAAAGCTTATAAAAGAAGTGAAACCTTTTGGATGACCAACGGCTTGTTGATGTGGCCTGCTGTTATACTGATTGTTTAAGAATGATCTGTTAACAGGAACACTGGGCATTGATTCAATTGCAGCAGTTTGACTGACATGATCGGACTTAGATATAGCAGTGAAAGGATGAAATGATTCTGAAATTGAATTACTTGATGACAAATCTTTGACAGCATTTTCAAAAGACTGGCGGCGACCACCCACCACCCCTACCTCACGCTTAATCGCCCCAACAACACCAGATGATCTGGAGTCAGGAGAAGGCACATGCACAGGATCTGTCGATGAAGAGTACAACCCAACAATAGAATTGCTTGAGGCTAGCGATGCATGGTGCTGTTGAGAATTATTGGATTTCGCCACTTGTACCCGTGAAGTAGTAGCATTAGAAGCTGTAGACCGCTTTTCCTCTGATACCTTCCTATCAGTGACACTTGAATTAGCATCTCTGTTGAATCTATGTACCGAATCAGTAGGCCCATTAGAAGCGTGAGGTGACCTCCATGCATCAGAAGGCTTTACGTTGCTTGAAATTCCTGTTGAACTGCTAAAAGAAAAATAAGGATCATTTTCAATGAACCTAAAATAGTCAGCTAGGTTCTCAACTGAAAATATAATGATGAAATAACATAAGATCCATCACTAGTATGATGCAAAGCAAAATCACAAAGTGGAGTTCCGTCGTCGCTTCATTTTCAATAAAAATGATATTCAATTCTTTAATAACAGACACCAGATTTTTCCTTCTCTACCTTCTAAGTTAAACCCTAATAACCAAAGGTTTTCTCAAAATGGTAAAACCTTTCTAGGTGGATTCTAAATGGAGAAAGAATGACCTACATGTGGGTTACACAATCAAAAAGCATACCCTCGATTTCTTTATTCCTTACCACAATATCTAATTCAAAAGTCCAATTTACCTAAGCTTCCTTAAGTTTGCAAAAGAACTTCCCCAGAGGAAATTAAATGTTTCTTCAGTATCCAAAATTCATCGTTTAGACCGTTAAAACCAGAATAATTATCAATTGAATTCCAGAAACTCCAAAACCTCAGCTCCCTATACCTGCTAAGTGTTGTTAAAAGAAACTGCATGTGCTAAAGCACCAAGAACAGGTGTGCACTTTACATGTAAAAAAAAAATTAGACAATTAGCTAAAATGCTAGGAAAAGGCTAAAAATAATCCCAACTTTGCCTAGGAAAAAAATGCGGACCTAAAGGATAAAGAAAGAGAGGAGAAATAAACGAGAAAAGAATTGAGTAAAATAAAAGGAGAATATTTGCCTAAAGGGAGAATTTATCTTTTTTCCACCTAATGAACTAAAGAGCTCTGCATCCTAGATGCTCATCGGTCACCTCAGGTGAGCCTAGGTAAAAGTGCCTAGAGCCTAGGAGCTTAGAAAGGCGTTGGCTCTGAGGCCTTTTTAACACCTTTTTAACAGTATTCCTGATAAGCTAAGCTCATCTGCTCAAAAAAGCTAGTAATTTGGCATGATCACAGACATATTTTCTGGCTGGTGAAAACACGCATAATATAACAGTAATACTAACTGCATTGGCAGACCCCTGCACACTTAGACATACGTTCAATAAGTTCAAAAGCCTAGCTATGTAGCAGCACTTGTTTAAGCGTAAAAGTGAATGCTTATAACTAAATTCAAAGTCACTTCATGACCATTTCTAGTAGCACAGAACCTCTCAAGCTGAGGATTATAGTGTATTAAGGATGACCATATAAAATCTGCCTAGGCATGGAATCTAGAATGACCCAGTGATAAACAAGAACAAAACATTTTTGTATCAGCCAAAATTGCTAGAGTTTGTGAAAATAATTACCAGACTGACGTTTTGCACTAGGGCATAATTGTGCCACCAAGAATGATAATAGGGGTAAGAGGGTGAAAACAAACAGAAAAGGGATGGCATTAAAATTTTGTTAAAGAGCCTGAAAAGGCATACCCTTTTTCAGTAATAACTCCACTTCCTTGCCCCTTGGCTGATGTTGAACCTTGCAGCAAAGCAGGCTTTGGTTCTCTATCTGTATTTTGATTAACTCTGTTGTCTCTCACAACACGGAATTCTCTGTTGATTCCTCTATGACCAGGTGAAGCAGTTCGAGTATAGCTTCCTCGTCGAGCATTATGATCCGAAAATGTACGGGGCCTCATCCCTAGACCAAAATTCTCAGAAAGCTTTCTTGAATCCACAGAACCTCTGTAACTCATACTCTGAGCCCATAAGCATATAAACTCATGAGTATAATGTTAAATCAGCACAGGCATTACCAAGAAATTAACACAGTAACTCTAATAAAAAATACTTGAACTTCAACTGGAAACAGGACTATGTACCTTTTAATAAAAAACTTAAACCTTGTAAACAATGTTCAGTCTTGGTAGTTGTTCACTCGAATGCATTTAAAAGTTTTTTGACAAAATAATCAATTAATGAAGAAGCAAGCTTAAATATCAGAAAGATGAGAACACATTCTCCAAACAACAAAACTCACCACAAGCAGAATACAACTATGACATATCAAAACAAAAGAGCCTTCAACACCCTCTGAATGTTTGAAATTGCAAATTGAATTTGAAACAAATATTCCTTAAACCTTGCATTGCATATCAGTTTTACAGATAGTATAGACAAATTCCTTAAATTTGACAAGCTGCAAACTCTTAATTATGTGAAAACATACTAAATGACATGGAAATGGCCCAGTACAATAAGTAAATATTGGACTAATAGTGCAAAATTCAATCTTGAAAAACAGAAAATAATGTAATGGAAGAAGTTAATTCCACAACTTTAATCACTTTATAGAATCGAATGTCAAGTGATCATGGCAATCATATCTGACAAGAATTTAACAGATCAGCACATTCCAAGTACTAGCATAAAGCATATTGTGCCTCCACCACAATAAGTAATAGTTCACACATAAGATCGCATTAGCAATAGCATTTAGGGGGAAAAAATGACCAAAACAACAGGACAGCATTCAATAGTCAATTTGGAAAGGTGTTCACAACTTCATACCTCTTTCTTCTTATCTCTTTTTCTCTTCACTTCATGAAATGGATCTGATAAGAAAACCAAATAAATATTCAATTGAATAAGAGAGTTACACCACTAAACCATAAAACAAATGCACTTGCAAATATGACTAAACCAACAAAGTAGCCAACACATGCCAGAGGGGCAAAAATCACAGCACATGAAGATACCATCTTAGAGGACCAATCAGAAGGCTCGAGAAACTCAAATTTTTATTTCCAACAAGCTAAGTGATTTTCAAAAAAAAAAAAAATTCATGGATAGCTGCAGCCTTCTTTCCAACCTAACCACACACAACGTTGAAGGACGCGGTTAACAGCCAACCAACTTATCTAACTTCCGCAACAGGTACCATAAGCCAATGTCCACAGTTCATCTACCATAGACTAAGCACGAGGAACTATAATGCACGTATCTGTGCAGTCTGACATTGAAGTAGCTGAAACTATGGATACCAGATAATCATAGCATGATGATACTCAATAGACAGATTTCATTCATGAGTACTGCTGTGGCAAAAGTTCCAGAATGAACTTAAAATGCCAACATATCAAAATTATGTTCCAGAAACTGCACATCAGAACATAATTTCGGCACTCTCATATTATAGAGCAACATGCTGAAGGCTTATGCTGTATCTAATAATCGTCAAGAACTTCCAAACCAATATTTTAAGAGGAAAAATAATATATTTCAATAGCATAAATGTAACATAATAATTACTACCTCACCCTTTCATCCTCTAACCAAACAAAGGAAAATTATTTACCTTTCACTCCATTACTTATAAACCCAAACGTTGGGAAGGTCTTTTTGCCACCTTCCATAGTTCCCCTCCCTTCCACATCCACTCTAAAATCACAAACACAACTTCAAAAGGTACTAGTGAACCCTACAACCATCTAGTTTTGAATTACGTACCAACAAATGCAAATTACTTTCAATGCAACAAAACTATCATAAACAAATTAAAGCCTGATAGAAATATCGGAGGTAATTTGTTTTTAAGCATTAGCATATTGATAACTAAGCACTCCCGTTAACTTTTCACTTCAATACTAAAATATCAACACAAAGCACCCAATACCATTATTCAAAACACGATATAAACACCAAGCATAGACAGACGCAGCAAAACTAAACATAATGTGACTGTAAAAAAAAAAAGCCAACAGAGACCATCAATTTCCAACTTCCAAACTGATAAACAACACAAGGAAATAAAGACCACACCAAAACCAGGACCAAAAAGAACCAACTGGATAGCGAACTTTTAAGCTAAAACCTTTAAAACACAAAAATAATAAATAACAAATAAAACCCTCAACCCTAGCATATCCCCATTATTTTCCAACTTGCAAAGTCTAAATATTTTTCAACAAAAGCACAAGCAAAAAGCACTAAATAAACAGAAAAAGAGAGGACACAAACCTTGATTGAGCAGTTTTTGAGCGGTCTCATTAGGATCCATGTTGGTCTCTTTAAGGACCATATAAATGTCAGCATCAGAGAAATTACCCACAATTTCTTTAATCGATTGTATAGTTTTCCTCACTCTCGCTGACAGTGTATGCGTCTGCTGCTGTTGCTGCTGCTGTCCACCACTAGTACTAGCACCAGCACCAGCACCAGTAACGGCAGAAGTAGCAGTTGTAGCAACCATCTCTCTCACTCTCACTAATTAACTACCAAATAGATAGTAATCGGAATTGCTGGGTTTAATGACGATAGAAAAGAGAGAGAGAGAGATTAGGATTAGGGCTAGGGTTTTGTGTTTTTATTTATTTAAGGGAAGGGAAGGGAAGAGGAAAGGAAAGGGTTAAAAAAAGAAAACGGCTTTGGAAGAAGAAAAGGGTGGAGGGGTTATGTATGTGTTTTGTTTGTTAGGAAGAGGGTTTTTGAAAATCTCTTTTAGCCCTCTCCTTTGACGCCTCTCCCTCTCATGGAAATGTTTTTCATTCCGGATTTACCCTTCCTTTTTTCCCTTTATTCCTTATTTGCACTTTTGTTTTTTTTTGGAAATTTCGCTATTACTTTTTCTTTAACCCAAAAAAAAAATTATGCATGCTTTGATGTCTAAACTTTATTGATTCTCACAATTCAGTACGTCATTTTCCCCCCTTATTTTCTAATTATTTAAAATTTTAACATTCAGGTGAAAGGATGAGTGTTCCTCGTAAAGCGTTTTACTAGCTGCCCATCGTGGTATGAAATCTTTTAATTTGCCTATATGGTGTTATTGAGGAATAACTTCTTCATTAAAATATTAAATTTTAAAAGTTTATAATTTTTATGTTTAATACGAGATCGGTAGAATTACGTGCTGAGTAAAAAGAACCATGTCTCTCTCAGTTTTTTTTTTCCTTTTTTTTTTTCGTATAGACCCTTGATATGCATACTATTTCATTTGATTTCTGTAGATTTTTTATTTTCATATTTTTTTTTACCTTTTTTTTTTATGTGTTACACATGTATCAATCGAATTGTATAAAAATGTTAAAATCAATTCTGAGAGAATGGAAAAAAAAAATCAAGAATCTAAAATCCAATCAAATACTACATAGAAATATAATTTGAATAAAATTATATATATCTTAATGCACAGTCAATATAATTTTTCAGAAAATTTTATGAAAGAGAAAGGTAAAAATTGAACATATCGTCGTGTATCTTTATTTTTATTATTATCCTCCATTAGTTTAGCATATGCAAGACCAATTAAAATTTAAAGACAGGAATAGCAAACAAAAATAATATATGTGCAGTTTTGCTTTATTTTACTAATGAAAATGCGTTGTGAATTGATAATATCTAAGAGAAGTCAAGTTATGTATGCTTTTCGTGATAATAGCCAAACAATAAATAAAGAGAATGTACCATCTTCTGTACACATCAATCTTAGAACTTCTGTTAAACGTCTTGGAACAATCAACAAAACAGGCCATTCAAGAAAATAATTACGACAACTAAAAAGTTGTAAGTATAAAAATGGAGGAGAGAATCTGATAAAAAAAGGTAAAAAATAATAATAATACAACTACTGGTAATTAGCTTTATCTACCCAAAAAAAATATTTTTTAAGAAAAATTCAAGAGGAAAACAAGAAATTATATAAAATATATTAATATATTAATTTTGGCTAGTTATATAAACAGATATTAAAAACTAATAAAAGATTTTAATATAACTATTAGTAATTAGCTTTTACAACAACAACAAAAAAAAAAGAGAGAGAGAACTATGATTTCAAATACTTAATATTATTTTTTCTTTTTTAGAAAAAAAAAAAAAAGGATTTTGCCTCATTGAATGCTATGATTTGGTACGTATTGGTGTTTTGATTTTGGAACTATGATTTCAAATACTTAATATTATTTTTTTTAGAAAAAAAAAAAAAGGATTTTGCCTCATTGAATGCTATGATTTGGTACATGTTGGTCTTTTGATTTTGGAACTGTGATTTCAAATACTTAATATTATTTTTTTTTTAGATAAAAAAAAAAAAGAGGATTTTGCCTCATTGAATGATATGATTTGGTACATATTGGTCTTTTGATTTTGGATACATGATCGATGTATTATATAGTATCCATAAATAAAACCTAAAAAGATTATCATTTTATCGAATTACATGAATGGATTTTTTCTTTTTTCTTACACCAAGAGGATTGTCATTCAAATGAATGGAAGTTTACTCAATAAGAATAGGAACAATGCACTGTGAGAACTATGCCACTTTTGCATTCGAGTAATCAATGTTGTTTCACTTAATAGGATAATCAAGCAACGTTTATTTCACGTAATCAAACAACAAGACACTCAAATATTTTTTTTATTTTTTTATCATAAGATTCATTGTGTTTTGATTGCATAACAAAGATAATTCTCTTTTATTACATAATTATCGTTACTCGACGTTTGACGGGATCCTTTGAAATTAAATTCTAATGTCTCAATAGTTACATGTTTATTTACGGAGCTTTGGAGTTGCCACATAGTGTCGAGGAACTAGGAACCTAAAAGTAACACCGGTCCAGTAGATTATATGGTAATAAGTTGGTTACATTTTTAGGAAAACAATTATTCACCCCAAAAGTGTCATTTTCGAATAAAGGTACCACATCTTGTTTTAGTCCTCAATTTATCTACTACATTGCTTATTTATGTCAACTTGCTTTCTAATGTTTAAACAACTTTTTTTTAAAAAAAAAATTTAATTTTTAGTTTTGAGCGTGGCATCGTATTGAAACGATTGTCGATTCTCTTCGTCGGGTGACACATCGGTTCAAACATCGGATCCACTTTAAGTTTCGATGCAACCGATGCATCGGAGGACACTACGATTATTAAATTATGATTTTTGGTGATGAAGGTCCCTATCAAATAGGAGACCTCGCCACGAAAACGATTGTCCCTATCAAGATGAGATTTCGCTAAGAAAATTTATTATTTTTTTTAGATATTTTTTTTATTAATAGCACGCATGCATAAAGGTCAAAACTAAAATAAATAAATATTAAATTAAATATAAACAAACAAAATATACAATTAAAAAAACAATTAAAATAATTAAACCCCTCTAAACATCTGAATTAAATACAAGATACATAAAACTTAAATTTCTAACTCAATATATTTTTTTTTATTGTGTTCCATTTCCGATTGGAGACTGGATTAAATCCATCTCCTTATTGTTTTTTCATGAAAAATGGAGGAATGCAAAGGTTGGATTGAACCAATCTCTGCCCTTTTTTAAAAAACAAATTCTACTCCTAGACTAGCGGCCCAGCCTCCATTCAAACCCAAACCACCTTTCATTCTTATTTTGCCATAGACCAAGCCCAGATCCATGAACCCCACTCAACAGAAGCTTTATACTTTTAATCAAACGTTTCATGATAAATTCCAAGAATTTCTCTCTCATGTTCTGGTTCTCTCATGCCATTTCTTTCTTTTCTTTTTCTTTTTTCTTATTCGTCTCTCTCTCTCTCTCTCTCTCTCTCATCATATACCATGAGCGAACCAGGATCCCTTCATTTTCTTTTTCATTAAGACCGCTTCTGCTCAACCCCTCTCTCTCTCTCTCTCTTGTTCATCCCCGTTTTTTTATTTTTGCTGGGTGTAATCCTAAATTCCTCACCTTACCAAAACAAAGTTCATTCACCCAGAATTAAGCTACTCTAGTGTAACTACTCAAACTTCAAACCCGTTACTATTGTTTCCTGACCAACCAATTAGGTGTCTTATTTAGCCTTTGTTACTGCCATCCTTTTTATGTTCAGACCAGACCAATTGACATTAAAATCAAAAGAAATTAAATGGGTTGAAATACCTAGGTAAAGCTGGATGAAGTGGAAGGCGTTGGAAGAATTGGAGTGGTGCTGTTGGGATTTCCTCTTGCAAGTGTTCGATTACGAGATTTGTGATTTTATGGATGTGCTTCTTTTGTTTGGAATGATTGAAGGGAACACTGGATGGCTTGTGTTCTTTAAAACCCAGCAATTATGAACTTGTAAACCCGAATGGAGAACCCAGAACAATGAAGTGAAACTCTGCCCAGAAAATTCAAGAACAACAACTCGGAGAGTGCTATTGCCTAAAACCCCCAAAAAATTCCTCCTCTTTTTCTTGTTTCCTTTTCTCTTTTTTTTTTCCACCAAGGATACTGCCCTTTTACAGACATTAACAACTTAAGTTTCACCTTCAATCAAACATTTTCAAATTCGAGTTTCATCCTAAATCAAATACCTTAAAATTCAAAATTTAGCTATTCAATTTGAACTCAAACTCTGTTATTGAAAAGTGATCCAACCGAGATAAACTGACTTTGAAAAAAATTGGGATAGACTTCAATCCATTTCCCTCCTCCTTTTTCTCTTTTGTTTTTTTGAAATACATATTTTGTATTTATTTTATTTATTTATTGTATTTTGTAATTTTTTTATATTTTATATTTTTATTATTTTATTATTTTTATTTTTTTTGTTTTGTTTTTTTTTTAATAATAAAATGGAGGTGGTTTACGATTATAACGAGTTGCCTCCTCTTTACAATGCTTATGATGCAAAGTCGAATGAAAAGGATATTTTTCAATGACTTTGTTTAATAAGCTTGTAATTTTTTTTATTTTTAGGATTAAAATCGAAAGTAAAATGGGAATGTGATTGCTAAATTGAAGGACGACACTGCCCGAGAAGTACTTATGCAATGTATGGCCAAATTAGAGAACGGCTCGCTTTGAAAATTAAACATGCAATGTATGATCAATTTAAAAGATGGTCCGTCCCGAAACTTAAATATGCAATACATGGCCAAATTGAATGGCGGCATTGTCTTGAAAATTAAATATGCAATGTGAGACCAAATCGAAAGGCGGCTCGTCCCGAAAATTAAATACAAATATACGATGTGAGGCCAAATCGAAAGACGGCATGTCCCGAAAATTAAATATGCAATACGTGACCAAATTGAAAAGTGGTATGCCCCGAAACTTAAATGTGCAATACATGGTCAAATTGGCGGGTGACCTACCCCGAAACTTAAATATGCGATATATGGCTAAATTGAAGGGCAGCACTGCTACGAAAATTAAATATGCAATGCGTGGCCCAAATTGAAGGACAACTTATCCCGAAAATTAAATATGCAATACATTGTCAAATT